TTAGGGTTTAGGGTTTAGAGTTGTCGATGGTTTCTTTTTGTTCCGTAAGGGTTTAGGCTGTATAGTTGAGGGTTTAGGGTTCATAGCTTTCAAGGGTTCTTTTTGTCCCGTAAAGATTTAATTTTGGCTTGATACTTTACGGCGTTGGGTGCAGGTTTTATAGTTTAGGGCGCGTGTTTTTTTCTGTGATTCTGTCGGCCTTTGATGCGGCTGTACTAGAGATCTCTAAGGGTTCTGGTTGCATCTGTAAGGGTTTTGATTAATTACCTTGGTGCCATGCAACTTGAGGTTGTTAGGGGTTTGCAATACACAGGGGTTGAGGGCTCTGCGAGCCGGGTGCCAAGATCCCAATGTTGAGGGGGGGAGCGCTAGTTGAGACTCAGAACGGACATTATTGGGTTCTATACTAGGGTCCATTTTAGGGGTACTAGGGTTCTAGTGTTTAGGTCCCCTTTAAGGGCACTATAGGGTTCTAAGGCCACCAAAACCTTGTAGCTCCGGGTCTTACGGTTTGGTCCCCCTGCTCTTCAGGTGAGCCTTTCTCGGAAAGCTACCATGACTCATGCTAGAACCTAGCGGTGGTGCACGAGATTTTGCTTTTTGAGAGTTTTCCTTAGCCGAGCCTCCGCCTTCACAAGATATGCTGCATATGTTGTTTATGCCTCTGCCTTTGTCATGGGGGGGCCCAAAAGGAATGAGTACTCCAAGGGGATCATTTTCGTACATTTTCGTACTGATTCAGGCCCCAAAATTGTCAGTCATTCCTACTGCGCCCGCAGGTGCATTGTTGCGCTGGTCGTGCTACACCCACGCTGCGCACGCCCGGGCTGCAGCGATGCAGACAGGAGCAGGTTTTAGCCAAGTCCTTTGGGATTGGGGAACTCAGAGACTCCAATATCCCTTAATTAAGGAATATTCCTTAAATTATAGTAGGATCCTTAATATGATTTAAGGTGTATTCCTTAATTAAGGGATCTTGGAGTCTCTGGGAACAGAGGAACCTCGAGCAGCAAAAAACCACAAGACTGCTTCATGCCGGGTTCTGACGGTTTAGGGTTTAGGGTTTAGGGTTTAGGGTTTAGGGTTTAGGGTTTAGGGTTTAGGGTTTAGGGTCTGGGTGAGGTACTGAGAGGATCATGGGACTTAGTAAGTAGGGTTATAAATAGGGTAACTATACTTATAAACCCAATTAGGGTACTGTATAACCTTACTTACTAAGTCCCATGATCCTCCAAGTAGACTTTATTGGCTTTTGGAAAGGGGCTTTCTCCAGCAGGAGTCTACAGCAAGCCCATGCAGCCGAAATTATAGCTTTGTGGGTTATCCATAACCTACCAACCCTAAACCCCGAATCCAAAATAGCCCTAGCAGGAGCCAGCAAGCATCCTCGAAAACGGCATCATATTCCCCGTAATGATCAGGGGCTACAACAAACTGTGGAGCGGCTGTAGCGGGGTCATATCGCTTGCCCCTTTGGCTTTCGCATGTGTAATACCCTAAACCCCGAAACCCCTAAAGCCTAAAACCCTAAACCATAAACCCTAAACCTTTACCCTAAACCCTAAACCCACCTCCCCTCCTCATAGGAGAGAACCTACCCTAAACCCCTACCCTAATCCCTTAAGCCCCTAAACCCCTAAACCCCAAAGCCCCTAAACCCTCAAACCCCTGAACACCAAAACCCCTAAACCCCAAAGCCCCTAAACCCCTGAACCCCTAAACCCTAATCCCCTAAAGCCCCTAAACCCCTAAACCCTAAGCCCGTAAACCCCCAAACCCCTAAACCCTAAACCCCTAAGCCCCTAAGCCCCTAAACCCCCAAGCCCCTAAACCCTAAACCCTAAACCCCTGAACACCTAAACCCCTAAACCCTAAACCCTAAACCCTAAACCCCTGAACACCTAAACCCCTAAACCCTAAACCCTAAACCCT